AGCCTATTAGAACAGAACTTGCTCAAAGTTTTTTTTTTCTTTAGATCCCACCCATCATGCACTGCAGGTTTTTTTTTGCAATTTCCTCAAAACCATTAAATACAAAAGGAACAGCTTAGTTTGACTTTAAAACATTACTATGTATTATATTTTATGTTTGTTGTACGGATTTTTACAGATTTTTTTTTTTTTATTTTTAATTAAAAATTACACCATAGACCCACCATAATAAGAATGTATACCAAAAAATGATAGCTATATAAAATCGCAAGTCACAATTAAAATGCGAGTAATATATTCTAGCTGTTAAGAGCTTCAAAGAAATTATATTAGTGTAGCTTTGTGTGTATTTATAGTATATCAGTGTTTCTCAACCCAGTCCTCAGCGAATCCCAGCCAGTCCACGTGTTTGCTCCCTCCCAGCTCCCAGCCAATCAGGAACACCGTAATAGCTTGTGGCTTGGCAGCTGAGAGGAAGCAAAAAACGTGGACTGGCTGGGGTTCGCTGAGGATTGGGTTGAGAAACACTGTAGTATATGGAAGGGTTCTCTTATGGCTGTGGGGAGGGCCCTGGGGCGGTGGCCCCGCCCCTGGATCTGATGCAAGCAGGCGAGCCTATGAACCAGGATGATGCATTCAGTGAGGTCACAGATGAGAACAGGCTTGTGGACATGTTTTATAAAAATGTGAGAGGTAGAGTAGGTTCATGTTTGCCTGGCCGGAACCTGCAGGCTCGTCCCCGCAGTCCAGGCCTGGGCCAAATCCAAGCGTCACTATGTCAGCAGGGGCCATTCCTGATCATTATTCTCATGTTCCATGAAAGCTACAACAAGAAATACAGGATGCCACCCCCCAGGATCAGTCCACACGGTCGGTGATACAATTTGCCAAACAGGGGGCAATCCCGAAATAAGGGGCAAATCACTTCCCATATTGGTCCAAACAGGAAGCAGCATTTTAATTTTCAATATGTGTAATGTCTATTGCTTTAAAAGACCTATATTCAATTATTTGTGGGACCTGAACATAAAATTTTACCCGTATTTTTTATTGTAATGATCGCATGCTCAGGGGTCATGGGCCCAGTTCCATGGGTCCAGTTCCATGGGCCACATCTGGCTTTCAGCACCAAAATGTTCATAGCCTGAATGCTCCTTGTTATTTTCAAAGTCCTGCTTCATAATAAGTGAGTCAATTCACACACAGGGAAAGGGGGGGGGGGACCCACTCCTTTCGTATGAGGGCTGACAGCGGCATGGCAGTAAGTGGCTTGGAGCGCCCCCTACAGGCGCTCCCCATGTAATGTATATCAGCAGAAATATCACCTATGAAGAGCATAAAATCATGCATAAACGACAAGGCCAGAAACAAGGGAGGCTTGGGCGACACAAATGCTTCCCCTGCTGTTTTAATCTAGTATCCCTGCAGGCTGCGGGCTTGATTACAGCAGAGCAGTAACGTTTGATATCTGTGAGCATAAAAGAGAGACGTGTGATACGACTGCCTGCAGATGACATGCTCTTACTAATGATGCTCCGGCGTACTACAGGGGGCGGGCTGTAAAATGCGACGTCCTCCCCAGCGTAAATCAGCAAGGCCTGCCTTTGCTGACACGCATTATGGACCCTTTGAAGCTTGTGCACTGGGAATCTCAATGACATGCGGGAACCAAGAAGGAATCGCTGTCAATGGGGAATCTGTGGGTCACGGCAGCTATCAGACATCTCAGAAATCCATCCTGTCATCAGATCTCAAACCCTGAGAGCTGGTGGAGAGGAACGTGTGACACATACCACTGCCAACAATATGACTGATGAGAGCTGAGAGTTTCCATGAAGGAGAACAGCTTCCTACAGACCAGCTGTAGTCTCCTCCTTGCATTAGGTCATCGTACAGGAGAGCCCGAGTAAGATTTATAGCACGGTCTGACTTTTAGTCAATACCCGCATCACCCACAGCATGTTTAAAAAATGAAATAAAACATAAATCTCACAGTCCAGTATGGTGCGATATTCACCAGTATGGTGGTTTATGGTAGACATTGTGACTTTGTAATCACAGTGAAATTACACTCCCCAAAGGTTAGTGTTTCAATCTCTTGGTCTTCCGTGTTTTGGTTCGTAATACTTTCATCCTATTGAGCAAAATAATGTTTCAAAGAACAATTTCCAAATTTTAAAACTGAACATGCAGGGGACAAAATAATTTCAAAACCCAGGTAACAGATACTCCAGAGAACAAGTTTGCATTAGCTGAAAATACAACATTTTAGAAAACATTTCTGCACAAACAGTAGATGCATTAACTGAAAAAGCACAATATTCTAGAAACATCTACACAGAACAGCAAGTGCATTTCCCGAAAGAAAAACATGAAAAGGAAACACACATACATATAAAAAAATTAACAAATGCCATAGGGTAAATGCATTTCACAAACAGACCTTGAATAAACAAGCTATAATTTGAATTTTATCAGAGTGCGACTGTCTTTGTGTATCAGGTTTCCTTACCCACGACACCAAAAGAGTCTTACCACTAAAGCTCTAATTTGTAAAAAATAAAATTAATATTTTTTATCGGTATAATTAAATGATTCTTGTCTTTTTCATTCACCTCTTTTAATCTATAAAAGTCAAATGATGATGCCATCCATCCATTTTCTGTAATGGGGGGTCCAGAGCCTATGCTAGAGACTACACACACAAGGCAGGCAACCACCCAGGGAGGGGTGCCAACCCATCACAGGGCACACTCACACACCATTCTCACCTAAGAGCAATTTGGTGACTCCAATTAACCTCAGCTTGCTTTTGGACTGTGGGGGGGGGGGGGAAACCAGAGTATCTGGAGGAGACCCCACAGTGACAACATGCAAAGTCTACACACACGAAGCCATAGCAGAGGCTCAAACCCGGGTCCCAGAGGTGTGAGGTAACAGTGCTAACCACTGCATTACCATGCCACCTCACAAATAGTAAATGTTCCCGCAATAAATCAAAAAATACACCAATGTTAATTATCTGAAAATAATAAATAATGTTTCCTTTCCGAAATACGGAACAGAATCCCTTTGTAATCAGGCATTGGTCTCTCTGTAATTATTATTCAATTGTAAAAAGTGATTTTTCCAGCGATTTTTGGCTGGATCAAGACAGGCTAACTGTGGAGAGCTGGAGCTGAATAGATTCTGAAGGCGCAGGAGATATTCTGTGGGGGTGGCATCTATATGATAGTACAATGCTTTAGTTTTACGAGGATGTTATATATCAAAGTATGAGCCCTGGTGCATTTAAAATGTCAAACTTACCCAGAATATTGAATGTATTGTCAACCCTTGAAACAGGATTATTAAGGAACCCTTTCTAATGGTGAAAAAGTCATATCAACAGGTGCCTGCTAAAAAAGAGTATGAATCATGTCTGTTTTGGGGCCTTAGCTAACATGTGCACTGATGTGGGGGGGGGGGGGTTCAAATGCAATCCGTCATAGATAATATTAAAGCTTTTATCAGTTAGCTAACATAATCAGTATGTGGTACTATGCTAATGCACTCAAACATCCATTCATCCATCTTTTAGCTGCTTATCATGATGCTCAGTGTGACAATGTGTGACAATAATTCAACTCATAAGTGAGTTTATCAAGAGAGAGAGATGTCAACCTGGATTTTACACTACACCTACAGTCAATACAGTGTATAATAATATTTTATTTGACATTCGTAGAGGTACACATAGGAAATCTTGGATTTTTGCATATCTCATCTTACTGTCCTATGAGACACACACCTACAGGTCAGACAGAAACTTGGCGTCTGTGCACAGGGTTGGTCGTTCATCCAGTGCTCCTGGATCTTATTTTTTCTCAAGGGAGTGAGTGTTAAGGCCTTCCTCAATGGCCCAATAGTACTATAATCAGTCTGCTGGTCCTGGGATTTGAACCTGCAACATTCTGGTCACAGTCCAAACCCACATAGCCACACATCTCTATTGTATTGTGCAATTCTACCACAACAGTGACTGTGAGAAGCTTCTCCAGCTGAAAGTACAGTACATTACTGTGCAGCAAAGCGCGTCTGTATGGTAACTTTTCATACCATGAAAATGTGAACAAACGAGTGAAACGTGTAATACAGCATCTAGCGGTTCATATAAAACAGGCGTGACTTTACCATAGAATCAAATCATTAAGTCAATAAATTTGAGGCTCACAGTCACGTCTGCAAATAAAAAGATCAGCAGATGTTGTTGTTGCCGCTTTGGACTTGATACTGTATCTGACAGAAAAAGTGGTTTAACTTTGAAATGGAAATTTAATAATCCTACTTAATGTCCCAATGGGGTGGCAGTTCTTGGGCTATAAAGTTTTGCTTACTTGAATAAATTACAGCTATTGTAGCTTATGAAAAACGTTAAGGACGTTGAAGGAGTCACAGTCAACCAGCATGTGTTTATTTAAGATGATCAAGTCTAACATGGACGGAAGGCGTGTGGATGTCTTCCATCATCTCACATACAATTCTCATGCATCTGGCGTGACAGTCTTGTTTTTCAGATAATAATAATAATAATAAAATAACCGTTTCTTTGCCTACAGTATCATTTCATGTTACGATGATTCATATTACACATTAGTTTTATATAGCACCCAATTACAAGGTTTAATGGGCAGAACATTTAACATATTAGCCTGTGTATTTAATCTAATGATTTGTGTAGTAGAGATAAACTGCCCACGGGCTATATTACTAGCAGTGTGTTCGCCATGGAAAGTGTTGTTTAAATAGTTGAAGTATATGCTAAACAGGAGAATCTGATTTCTCATTAGTAATGGCAAATCCTTAGCTGAAATACCGTTTGATTGAAGACATTGTGGAGACTGACTGATAATAATGTTGTCAAATGTGATTGAAACCCACAAACTTATACAGTAAAGGCTACGGAACAATAGTTACACCTCTTCTGATCACATGAACCCAAAATAAAGTTAATGCAGGCCTTTTATGTATAAAAATATTTTATTGAGAAACCATTGTATGCATACAGTGATAAAAAAGGCTTCGAATACTGCACAATAATATCCGAACTCTTTGAAATAAAGCAAATCTGTGCAAAACACAATCTCTTGTCGGGTTTCTCATATTGCTACTGGTAAGCGATCAGCAGTCTTTGTTAAGGCCCATCTAAACCCTCTATAGTTGCAGTGATTTTTTGCATCTGCATTTTGGTTACACAGCAAAGCTGTTTAGTCTGATCAGAGGAGTCCCTGATGATGCTAGTCAGATCGATATTTCTCTGTTCAGAGTTTGATTGCATTTCTTGTCTGGTGAATTAACGGTGCTGTGAGGCTGTGTACATAGATATCATGCAGCGCAAACAGCAATCGCCGAATTTAATTACTATCTACCTATGTTACCTTGTATTAAGTAATTTACAATCAGAGAAAGCATTTTAATAAAAATGACCTTCCCACAGAACAAATTTATATCAGTTTGTTACTGATAGTTTATCACTGGAGATAATGGGCAAGGTTGTGTTAGTTTTTTCAAGGATAACTTTGTCTCCTGGTAGGCTGTCGATCTTGATTTGTGTCCATGGATTGAAAAGGCATCCGAGAACAACTTGTATAGATTCAAATTTTGCGAAATAAAACACCGCAACCCTGAGTTAGCAAACCCACCACACACGAACAGCCAAGGTCCAGCTTTCACTGAGACAAAGATTATATGACTATTATGACTCCAAGGAAAGCAAACGGGGTCCAACAGAGTCATGAAAAAACACAAGGTAATGGGTCAGGACTTTATGAACGTTTGGCAGACTGACCCAGAATATTACCCTGATTTCTCTAGCATTCTGTCTGATATACTGCTGTGTCTTATGCCTTTTGATTATGTTGTTGCCTGGTGCCCGTAAATGAGTAATATGCCTTCAAGCCGTTTCTGCGTAATTCTGCGGAGTAGATATTAGCACTTAAACACTTCCTACTTCTCATAATTCTTTGCTGTCATATAATATAGTAGACTCCCTTATCCAGGGTGACTTAAAGCCGTAAATTTTCACTAAGATAGATAACAATTCACTCAAACAACTCAATATAGATGCAAAATGTTCAGAATGAACTCTGCTCCTTTGGTTTTGCAGTGGGTCTGATTGGAAATATCACACCATGGCCTCTCAGACACAATTCTGACCAGGAATCAGACAAATGCCTTTTAGGGCTAACTTACACACATTCCAGTTCCACTAATAAAACGTGGAGAGCACGTCCCCTATCAATATAGGTTAATAAACACATAACAACAAAAACAGACCCCAGCTGGAGTCAAAGTGTCACTGTGAAGTTTTCATAAGCTACGCAGAGAGGCAGAATCTCTCTGGCCATCTGAAACTTCAGCCTTTTCTTTGGAGGTACCTGAGGTTCCACCATGCAGCAGTTTGCCTGGTTCTCAAGAACTGGTTCCTGAAAGTCTCCCACAGAGCACCTATGGCCATTTGTGTTACTTCAGTCTTTATCTTGAGTTTCTGAGAACATCAGCACTTTTGCAGGGGACTTCAAGCATTGAACAAATAGTACTGCAAATGCCAACCTAATATGGACGCTCCACTTAAAATAATAACCAACCGGACATCAGTTTTGATTCCCTCCATTTTTTGTTATTTGTTTTCCTGTTTTTCCCCCCCAGGAATCAGGTGAGCTGGGAATGGCACCGGCATGGAGCAGGCCACCCTCCTTCAGACGAGGTCTGTAGAATTGGCCCGTCCTTCTGCTGCTGCAATCAGGGCATGGAACTGCGAGTTCTCATTGGCCAGGAGAGCAGAGGGGGAGTCAAACTCCACAATCTAACAGAGCAAAAACACAGAATGGGGGGGGGGGTCATAAATGCTCTTAGCACCTCTACCCAGGGTACTAAAGACGTTGCGGCTACTAATAACAGCCCTACCTCTCCTTGATCCAGCACCATGATCCTGTTACAGCCCAGCACAGTGTTGAGGCGATGGGCAATCACTAGGGTGGTGCAGCCCTCAAAGCCCAGCCGGATGGTGTCCTGGAGCAGCAGCTCTGTCTCTGTGTCAATGGCTGCCGTCGCCTCATCTAGAAGCAGGATCTAAGGAGAATCAAACAGGTAAAGTATATTGGCTTTGATATGAAGCACTGACTGCTTCTGCAGCTTAACGCCAAGACTTCGGCGCAGATTATTAAACTTACCGTTATCATGAATACACCAGTACCTGAAAAGAATTACATCACCTCATATCCCACGAATTCTAATCCTTCTGGTTAATGATTGCTATCTTAAACCTCATAACTAAATTTAAACACTAGATGGCACTGCTATGTAATTTTGCAGCAATGCAGCATAAGGGTTCATCTTTTCCTCCCCACATCTTGGAGGGAATGAAAGGTTCATCTTACCTCCCTGCATCTCAGGAGGAACCAGAGGTTGGTCTTTACCTTACTACATCTCAAGAGGGCTCTGGCCACACACAGCAGCTGTCGCTCCCCCATGGAGAAATTCTCCCCGTTCTCTGTCACCTCGGTGCTCAATGTCTCAGGCAGCAGGCTGATCTAAGCACACAGGACCAACAAGTCGCGCTATTATTAAAGTCACAGAGTCACAAAGCCATTAGCTGAAGAGCTTCACCCTGGCTTTACCGTGTCCTTCATATGGGTCTTTTCCAGGGCCTCCCAGATCTCAGCATCTGTATGCCGGCCAGAGGGGTCCAGGTTCAGCCTGTGCACAAAGAACTATGTCAAAGGGCTGCGGGACTCAGGAGATGTCAGATGGAGTCAGGTTGGTGAGGCTGCATGGGTGGGCACTACCTGATGGAACCTATGAAAAGCATGGGATCCTGAGGGATGATTGACAGCCTGCTCCGGAGGTCCTCCAGGCCAATCTGGGCGATGTCCATGCCATCTACTGTGATGGAACCACCCGCCAGCTCTGCTAGTCTGAAGAGCGCAATTCCCAGGGAGGACTTCCCTAGACGGAACATCAGAATCTGAGTTAAGCTCATAGATCATGTGGACTTGGGAGAGAGTGAAGAAACCCAAGGTCTCTACCTGACCCGGTACGGCCCACGATGCCGATGGTCTCCTTTGGCCGAATGCTGAACGAGAGCTTCTTGAGTACCAATGGCAGGTCGTCACGGTAGCGCATCTGGACATCCTTAAAACAGATGCGACCCTCCTGTGGCCAGCAGGGGTCAGGGCAGGACGCCGGACTGCTGTGTCGGGGACCTTCTGTGTCCAGGTTCTGTGAGGGGTGGGATATTCCATAAGGTGTGTGCTGTTGTTTTCCAGATTATGAAAAAAGGAAGTTCCTGCTTCTTTTGAAGACCTTATTTCGGGAATCTGTTCACATTCGTTGGAAAATTCCAAAGCCGTGACTCACCCCCGGCTGGCTGGGACATACCCAGTCATGGGGGACTGGGCCATGCACGATGCCTTGATGTATTCCTGTTTATTTATTACTCTGGTACTCTCTGATATTAACCATTGTATGTTACCGTAATGTGTGCCAGCTCTGTGTGCAGTGCATTGCAATATATTACTGCATTACCTCATACCACTAATGTTATTCCGTTAGCGGTACTGCTGGTTTCACTGGATGCTATTTGTCATTCCATCTGCTCTCCTGCAGATTTCACTGGATGCTGTATGTTATTCCATCAGCTCTACCATCATGTGCAGTGGACATATGGCATCACTTGCCATGTGCAGTGTAACTGTAATACACTATGTGAGGGACACTTTGTCTCCATCTCTTTGACCAAATGCCCCATCCACCCCTGACCCCAGTAACCCCACCGTTATGTAATGATTGATCCGTTCCACAGATGTAAAGCGAGCTTCGGTCTCAGAGAGGAGGCGCACGGTGAACTGGAACAGACCAGTCAGCTGGAAAGGGAGGGGGGTCATGTCAAGCTGCATCAACCAATCATTTTATACATAGGCAGTAGGTGTGTTTATCAAGAGTGATTTGATTGGCTCATACTTTTCTCTATCAAATCAGCAAGATATTTACACAATCAGTTCAATGCCACTTGTTACATATTGGAAAAGCTGCACATTTAAAGAAGGGATTTTACTTTAAGGGTATTTCTCAAAGGTACAAAAGCAGGGATCTGCTGGAATATACAGTACTTCCACCAGTACTCCACCGGCTGGCTATATACTGTGGTGCAGCTGAAAGAGAATACCTGGATGACGTAGGAAATAGCGAGGCCCGCATAGGCTGGCAGGATCTGCCCGTGTGTGAGGACAATGAGCAAGGCCACAGCCGTCACCAAGGAGATGCTGATGAGGTCCAGCCTCACAGCCAGCCAGCGCATTGCGCAGTTGAACAGGTAGTGGGGGGCCTGGTTGGTGTCCAGCAGGGCCTGGTACCTGAGGTGGGGGCCGCCCATGAGAAGAAGGCGACTATCCACATACCAGTATCTAGCAACCTTATTGTGTGTTCTTAACAGCAGAGACACTTGCGCATGTGTAAGAGAGGATGCTGCACCTGTTCAGGAAGTCCGGCCCCCTGCTGTAGGCGTGAATAGTGGGTAGGCCCTGGAGGCTGCTGGTTATGTGTGAGGTGAAAGGCGATTGGCTGATGTTGTCCAGCCGCTTCAGCTCGCGAAGCAGAACTCTGCCGGGATGATGAAATGCACAGACACTCAGGCACACGGCCTATACAACGGAGACTCCCAATTCTCCCAGTACCTACAGGCTGTTACTGCTGTATACACATGTGCCTTTTGCGGTATTTCCATAATAAAAAAGCATTAGTTTCAAAATTAAGTGAGAACTTATGTGAGAAGAAGTAGTATCCATCCATCCATCCATCCATGCTTTTTTGCCAGACCTATGGATGTACTGCTTATCTGTGGAACCCCTAAACAAGCTCCCCATGGTAATGTCTGTTCCCAGTTCTCAAAGCATCTGCTTGCCATATTCGCAGCCCCATTGAGACAGGAGATGCCTTATTCAAACAGACACCCCTAAGACTAGAACCCTCCTCATTGTCTTACACGCCATTTCAGACATTATTCATGACGTTACTTGTGTGTCGCTGCTGTGATCCCCCCGGTCGACAGAATGGGGGCATGAAAAGCAGGAGCAGCGAACCCCGGCTCCGTCTTTCCCCCCCAGGATGATTAGGGGACACAAAACATGTTTACGCGGGAGCACTTTGGCTGAAAGCCTCGCAGACACGCTGGCCGCAGAGACCCCTGGCGAGAGAACGGTGGCTAATTAGCTGGCTGGGTAGAGCACCGCGGCAATCTGAGTTGGTCCTGATTGGACGCATCGCGTTACCGCGGCCGGCACAGGAGCGGCAGGCTTTCAGCGCATCCTCGCGGTTTCGAACGACAGCTGTGACATATGGAGGAGGAAATAACAGCACTTAAGGGCTCAAATAAAGCGCTCTTCTCCCCGCCTGTGCAAAATTAACCTTCTGTTTTAGCTCCGGAGCAGTTTGTATATTCAGAGAAAGCTACTAAGACTGAACAAACAGAGGTCCAACAGAGAACACGGATTATAGCACTTCATGAAACATCTCCTCCAACGCGCCCGCCTCTGAACGCACTCAGACAAGCAGAGTAACCACTAGAAAATGTATCAGATAAAGACTTTAACTAAAGACTGAAGTTGGCCAGGTGCCATCCAGACCTCACCTAGTAACACGTGTGACCAGGTAGAGGAAGGTCCCCAGGGGCACGATGGACAGGAGGAACCAGGGGAAGATCACACTGACCATGCCCAGGCAGAACATCACCAGCGTCAGGTTCTGGAGCAGCATCTCCATCTGCATGGCCAGACGCACGTCCACTGTGGGAAGGACATGCTTTTTATCCAGCGGCCCATGCAGATAATGTTACCCAAAAGCTATTTCGAGACCTTATAATTCTGCTGCTACATAATTCTACACCCATTAACACAGCTGGATAAATATGGGGGAATCAGCTCCCTCGAGCGTCCACAGAAGGTCCCTCACAAAGGGAGCACGTGGCACTGGTGTGAAAGAGGGCAGCGGCCTCTCACCTTCGTCTATGTCCCTGGAGAAGCGGGTGAGAATGCGACCCAGGGGGGTGGTGTCGAAAAAGGCCATGGGACTGTGAACCAGCTTCTGGAAAAGCTTGTCGTGCAGGGCGGAGGCAGCTTGGAGGGTGCACTGGGGGGGGCGACATATAGACAGATGTCACACAGGGACACATACAGATGTCACACACACTCAGGGACACAGACTCTAACAAACAGACGTCACACAGGGACACAGACTGATGTCATACACACTCAGGGACACAGACTCTAACAAACAGATGTCACACAGGGACACAGACTGATGTCATACACACTCAGGGACACAGACAGACGTCACACGTTCAGGGACACAGACAAACATAGAAATCACACAAGGACACAGACATGTCGCACACAATCAGTGACACAGACAGAGAGATGTCTCACACTTACGGACAAAGACAGACGTCACACACACTCAGGGATGTGAACAGACAGACAGACGTCACACACATAGTGACATGGACTGACAGACTTCACACAAACAGACGAACAGCACACAAAAACCAAGCAGACAGTCGTAGAGTCACACACACACACAGATATACACACAGGTATAACATGTCGCAGGGACAGATGTCACACACATACACACATTCATGAACAGACATCACACACACATAGACAGACACACAAACACGGGCACACTCTCAAAAACAGCAGACAGATAGACACACTCAGGGATATGGGGATACAGACAGACGTCACACACAAAAAAAGAGTCACTCGGACATACCGATACGCACGTGTCACAACCCTTACAAATGGACATGACTCAGACAGCAAACACATTACTCTCAGCAGAGACGATGACATGCCATCACAGATAAACATCAGTTTCCAAAGTGATTATAAACCGTCAGCATTTTACACATATTACAGCACGAATCCCCGCTAATATTCATCAGAAAGCAGACACTGTCGCTTTCTCACGCTGCAAACTCATTATATAGTTTCACAGTTTTATAAAAAAAATAAGGCTTGATGCTGAATTGCACATCAAGCAGAATTATGTATGCATACATATATACATACATGCATACTTGCATACATATATTTTATATACGCACGCATACACACACACAGATATGAAAGTTGGTGAAAATCAGTGTAGGCATCTTTGCAATGACAGGGAAAATATTTTCTACTGACTTGCCAAACACAGAACCTGTTACAAAAAAATTAGTCAACATGCACACTGTTTGTGCAAACACATTTCTAAGTTATCTGGGTAAAAAACACTGAAACTTTTCAGTACAGGAGATATTTTCTACACATTTCGTTATCAGACCAATTAGTGAGAATTCCCTGTCTTTCACATCTCACCCAGGAAAAAGCAGATGAGTCATTTTCAGAGTCTTGGCAAACACAGCAGATGGTAGGTGAGCAAATTACAGATGGGATTTTTCGTTTTAATGAGGGAAACAGACTCACGACCTTTATGGGCCAGAATCTTTCCTGACCGAGTCACAGTCAGAAAGCCAACAGCCGTCTTTCACTGGACGGCAAGAAAACAAACCAGGGCTTTCTGTAACAGCCCAAGCCGCACACACAAGCTCTGGGGCTTAGAAACAAGCGCCGCAAGGAATCCTGGGACCATCTCTAATTTTCAGGGGGCAGGGATATGCTGTCTGCAGGCTACAGCGAGTACTGCGGTAACAGGCTCACAGCAATTACCAGACAGCTGCCTTAAATGGCCCCCAGACGCTCGGCGACCCGTGCCGAGCGGGATTTGCGGGTGGTGCCGAGCGGACGCTGTTTGCCTGCCTCTTGTGCCAGCAACGGGTAAGCAAAGCCCAGGACAGCATCCCCCCAGGCACCCGACATGGACCTATTTATACAACCTCTATTTGGGGGAAAAAATGCAAGAGCAGAATTGAGACTCAGTGGATAATTGCGGAACCACAGACCATATGTGGGATGGGTCTTGACGACTGTACCTTGACGAAAATTGCCCCACGCACAGTCTTCAGCAATAGCGCCGCCCCCATGGACAGAGCGTAGATGGCAGAGTAGTATTGCGTGTGGGGGTTGAGCCTCATGCTGTCGCTGACTGTGGTCTCATTGCCCATAACCACAGAGATGTTCTGGGGACAGACAGCGATGCCCAGGTGAGGAGGCCAGTCCTGAAAAAGCTATAGGCTTGTTTCCACTCACGGCACATTATTCAGTAACAGGAAAGACTTTCTCTCTGCATCTGCCCTTCTGTTGATCCTTGTTTTAATTAAGTTTATAGATCCCCCTCGTCTGACTCTGACTGACAGACAATCAGACACAATGACACATTATCGCAGCAGGAAGGCAGCACCATCGTCAGCCCCTCCCAAGACTTACGCCGCTGCCCTGCTGGATCCAGTGGCTGAGCCACCAGTTGCTGAATGCGATGCTGCCCGTGGTGGTGAGGAAGAGGAAGATGTTGAGGGCGAAGGCCAGTGGGCCACCGGCGGCTTGGATGTAGGTCCAGTAGACGGACCAGGACACGGCACCAGCGCTTCGCTCTTCCGCTGTCATAAGTTGAACTACGGTGGATTTCGGAAGGTCAGAGGTCAGGGGCCTTGTGAGGCATCATGGGTAAATAGATCAGCCCTAGGTACTTGATCATCTGTTTCTCATTCATCAGGCTGGGGTGCACCCAGGATGGGATGCAGGTGTGATTCATGGCACAGATACCTGTACACCACGGTCACCTTGGAGACACCAATTAGCCTAACCGCATGTCTCTGGAGGAAACCAGCAAGAATTCGCAAACTACACACACACACACAGCAGAGGTGAGACTGCAGCCCCAAATGCTGAAGATGAGTCAACAGTGTGACCCTATCTCACCCCCTTTCTGGCCGTCCATGGGGGCAGCTCTTCTGCTAGCACTGGACGGCGCCCCCTGCCTGAGCTTCTTGGTGTTGTTCTGCTTGTTCTTCAGGTTCTTGAGCTCCAGGGTCTGCATTGCGGATGGGGGGATGGTGGGTGACAGACCCGGCTGGGGAAGAGGCAAGCGACCGTCAGCCATTAAAGTGCCGTCGCTGACAGACAGTCTGATAACGCAACGGCACATAAACACGTAAAGGAGCCACATGCATTAACGGTGCATAGCCGGTATCCTCCACAGAGCTGATGGATTATGTACAAGCAGTGAACTGAGGGGCAGAGTGACCGGCCAGGCTGTCCTGTGTAGCTACATACAGATACATGCTAATCCATCACCCATGCGGGTGGCCCTGCTCGCTCACCTTGTGCTGAGTGCAGCTGAAGAGTGCAGTGTACTCATTCTCCATGCCCATGAGCTGGACATGACTGCCTTGCTTGAACAACTGTCCGTCCTTCATCAGAACCACCTCGTCGCATTCAGCCAGGTACTACAGTGGCAGATATGCAGAAACAGTGCCATTGGAAATGCCTGTTACGACCACCGTTGGGACTCAAATGAACAACCCTCAGGTTAGACACCTGAAGCTTTGACATCCATCCAGCCCCTCGGTGTCCTCTGCCTCACCTGTAGCTGGTGGGTCACGAAGAGCACGGTCCTGCTCCCAGCTGCCCCGCGGATGGCACTATGGAAGAGGTGCGCCCCCACGTGAGGGTCCACGGCGCTGAGCGGGTCGTCCAGCAGCAGAACCGGCCGCTCGCTGTATAGCGCCCTGGCCAGACTGATGCGCTGGCGCTGGCCTCCACTCAAGTTGGTGCCACGTTCACCAACCTGGAATGAGATTCTGCCATGGTCACCAAGGTCAGGTAGATACACAGCTCACACTGACACAGTCACCACGGTCATGTGGATATACAGCTCACACTGACACGGTCACCACGGTCATGTGGATATACAGCTCACACTGACACGGTCACCACGGTCATGTGGATATACAGCTCACACTGACTCGGTCACCACGGTCATGTGGATATACAGCTCACACTGACTCGGTCACCACGGTCATGTGGATATACAGCTCACACTGACTCGGTCACCACGGTCATGTGGATATACAGCTCACACTGACTCGGTCACCACG